CTCGGGGGCCGGCGGCTTCTGCTACCACTCCGGACCTAACCCCGCAGGGCATGCCAGAAACACCGACATTGGGTTCGTCCTCCGACATGTCTCTGTTAGTGGGGGCTCAACCCTCTACACCCTCTACGCCAATGCCTCCTTCACCTGCTCCCATGGCTTCAACACTTCTGCTAGACCTCCCGATCCCGGCAACCAGTACCCCTCCACTTTTACCGCCTTTCTCTACCGCCCCTAATATCGGTAATCCACAAACCCATAATCAGTTGCCGCCCGAGGAACGGGGGGCGTCAGCCGCTGCTACGAGGTGGCAAAAGATTAGACACCAAGCATTGCAAGCAGGGGATTTAGCTTTCTGTTCAACAATAGTGTGCCCCGTCATACGCAGCAACGGAAATGGCCCTGATGAGCATGAACCTTTTGGCTATAACGTTTTAAAGGATCTATGGCCAACAGTTGCTGCGCATGGACTGGGTTCTCCTTTTACACAATCCCTGCTGCGGGGAATATTTACAAATGAAATGATACCATTTGATGTTTACATGCTTGTTAATCTTATATTGACCCCAATGCAAAAGGTGATCTTTGAAAGCACCTGGCGTACCGCCTGTCAAAATGCCACAATTGGCAATATGCAGCGACAACAGGGCGACCCTTTACAAGGGGCAGGACTCCCCCAGCTTATGGGGGATCCACCGCTAAATCACCCAACGTTACAGGCACGGTTACGACCAGGGATATTAGCACAAGGCAGAGACCTTGCTTTACAGGCATTACTAAGAGTGCCGGATGCCAGAAGAGCGACAAAATCATTTACATTAATAAAGCAAGGGGCAGGAGAGGGGTATATCTCATTCTTAGATCGTCTTAAAGAGGCTTTGGAAAAAAAGTCAAAAATGCAGAAGCGAGAGAGGTCCTGCTCCTACAATTAGCCTTTGAAAATGCGAATACAGACTGTAAAAAAGTGCTCTTGCCTCTAAAAAACATGATAGAAGCTACCCTAGAGGTGGGGTCAATGTCCCATAATATGGAAATATTAGCTGCAGCTTTTGCCGCTGCAGTGAAAATGCAGAAATCATGTTTCTCCTGTGGAAAAACTGGACATTTTAAAAGAGATTGCCCACAACTGAGAAAGGGAGGAAAACCAAGTGCACCAAGCGTACCTGGATTGTGTCCAAAATGTAAAAAAGGAAGGCATTTCGCGAACCAATGCCGATCAAAATATGACGTAGATGGCAAGTCACTGTTACCGGAATTGGGAAACTCGCGAGGGAGCGCGAAAGCAGAGCGTGCTCAGACAGCAAATATGCCATTACAAGCCTTTCCAATTGTCTCCGAGCCAGCACCGCTGGCAGTGCCAGACTGGATGTTTCCATAGACACCACAATCCTAATTACGGACCAAGCAGTGCATAAAGTACCGCTACAGGCCAAGGGACCAATCGGAAATGGATTAAGCACTCTGCTATTAGGTTGCTCTAGTGCCACCCTACAAGGACTATTTGTTTTACCAGGAGCTAAGACCCCATATATGCAATGACTCAAAGAGTTGTATGGACAATTGGGATGGGAGGACCCCATACCTACACCCCACTGTACAGGAACCGCAAGAATTAGGGCTTTTAGGATCAGTACCCATGGAGGCGTGTTTGTACTTTAATTATTCAAAGAATAACACACAAGTTCAAAATGTCAATGCTTCCCTGAATGATTATTGGAATGCAAGTGTATGGTGCAATTATACCAGTGCCAACCAATCTCGATCATCAAAAACCCTATAGGCCTACCAGCGGGGGTGTTTCTAATCTGTGGAGACAGAGCATGGAACAGTATTCCGTCTCAAATAAGAGGGGGTCCGTGTAGCTTGGGAAGATTGACCATACTTACTCCAAACATAACCATGATATTAAATCACAAGAAAAAGAAAACCAGTAGATACAAACGCACAGCGCATAGTTTTGACAAACACTGTCAGGATAATGTCGAATTTTGGAATCCGCCCAATATCATAGCCACTTCAATTCTTACACCCGGAGCTGGAACCGCACATGCACTCACCTCCTTAAGAAAACTCGGATGTTGGTTAGTGAAACAAACAAACGCAACTTCTATAGCCTTAAGTGGACTTTTGACGGATGTTGATTCAATACGCCACGCCACATTGCAAAATAGGGCACCCATCGATTTTCTATTGTTCTATGAGTGTGAAGACTTTGACGGTATGTGTTGCATGAACTTATCAGATAACTCCGAATCAATCCATAAAGCAATCAGAGATTTGAAGGAAGGGGTTAGCAAATTACAAGTCAGTGATGGACTTGGTTGGCTGAATCATTTATTAGCAAGTCGGTGAGTTAGCGGGTGGATATGCCATTAGTTAAGATGGGTTTATTGTTATTGTTAATGTTTTGTGCTATAATAATGATAGTTCCCTGTCTAATGTCTTGTGTATGGAAAATGCTACAGAATATGATTAAACAAGCTTTTGTGGTGGAAAAACAAAAAGGGGGAATTGTGGGGATAAATGAGACTGTGTTTGACTTTCACGAGATGCAGCTGTGCCCTTGAGGCTTGTTGCAAACAAGTTTGCGAAAATTAGATGGCGCGCTGGGAAGATTGACCTTACTTACTCCAAACATAACCATGATATTAAATCACAAGAAAAAGAAAACCAGTAGATACAAACGCACAGCGCATAGTTTTGACAAACACTGTCAGGATAATGTCGAATTTTGGAATCCGCCCAATATCATAGCCACTTCAATTCTTACACCCGGAGCTGGAACCGCACATGCACTCACCTCCTTAAGAAAACTCGGATGTTGGTTAGTGAAACAAACAAACGCAACTTCTGTAGCCTTAAGTGGACTTTTGACGGATGTTGATTCAATACGCCACGCCACATTGCAAAATAGGGCACCCATCGATTTTCTATTGTTCTATGAGTGTGAAGACTTTGACGGTATGTGTTGCATGAACTTATCAGATAACTCTGAATCAATCCATAAAGCAATCAGAGATTTGAAGGAAGGGGTTAGCAAATTACAAGTCAGTGATGGACTTGGTTGGCTGAATCATTTATTAGCAAGTCGGTGAGTTAGCGGGTGGATAATGCCATTAGTTAAGATGGGTTTATTGTTATTGTTAATGTTTTGTGCTATAATAATGATAGTTCCCTGTCTAATGTCTTGTGTATGGAAAATGCTACAGAATATGATTAAACAAGCTTTTGTGGTGGAAAAACAAAAAGGGGGAATTGTGGGGATAAATGAGACTGTGTTTGACTTTCACGAGATGCAGCTGTGCCCTTGAGGCTTGTTGCAAACAAGTTTGCGAAACTTAGAGGCAGCGAAATGAAGATGAGGTTGGATACGTTCCTGAAAGAGGAGGTCGCGTGCACCAACTTGAAGAACCAATAAGAAGCGCTGAAGAAACACGTGAACACAAGGCAGTAAGCAATGAGATAAGGTTTGCTTGCTCGTGGACACTAGATCATATTACAAAAGGGATAGATTGTAAAATAAAGCGTCTTCGCCTAAACTCATACGCGGAGTCTGTGATAAATTGCCACAGAGGGCTATCAAATTACTCTGTGACTTCAGGGAAGATATATCGCATGCTGTCTTCAGAGGGCTTTTGGAGGCTCTGCAGAGTCTGGCTGTCAGATACAGGTACTCAGATAACACAAGGAATTTTACGAAAATAGTATATCAGCAGGCTGGTCGGGTGTTTTAATCATCTCATACATTCCATTCTACCCTCTGGTGTTGTGGAGAATGTCTCAGTTTCTGTATAAATCTAAATTTACAGTGTGTGAAACCATTATTTTCATATACTCAAACTGCGCTCTGAGAAAAATAATGTCTAAAAAGCACAGGAGATTCAAATGCACTGGACTTTTTTTATATTTAATGATATCAAAGTCAAGTTTGCTAACAAATAATGGAAAATGTAATGGCTTAAAATAGAAAACGCAATAGTCAGAACTGCTATTAGAGTTCTCAGTCCCAATAGCGCTCCACATAGCAAAAGACTTCTGGTACACCAAGAAAGGCAGCCTCAGACACCAGGACCTCTCATGACTTTGAATTGGTCAGTCTTAACTAATTAAGTTCATAAGCCCCTTTATAAAGGGGAAAGGAGCAAGACATTTCTGCTTTAGGATAAAGCACAACCTGGATCTGTCAGATAAAAAACAAATACTTGTACAAAAGAATTATTTTCTTCCATCTTGGAATATTATATCTCATAGTTTCCTTGTAAAGCCCCGTTTTTCTGTATCCTCCTGTTGTCTTTTGTCTCTTGGTTAGATGGTAAGATCTTGGTGGGGAATTATTCTGGCTCTCCATGACTCCTAGGCACCTAGGATGCTGGTCTGCCAGAAATTGCAAGGTGCTAGGTGGCGATACAAATAACAAAAATGGACTATCTAAGGGAAAAACAACATTCCCAGACAATGAGAGCAGGAAACTTGGTCACAAATGTGACTTGTCATTTGAAATGGAGTCCACCTTACTCATGTCAGTGGTTTGATTGCCTCAATCCACTGTGCTCGCTCTGCCTTGGAGCTGGCCTGGATATAATAATGAATGTCATTTTTGGTGATGATTTTGAAGAGGTTGCCTTGCACATTGCCCTTCACTCCTGCAGAGAAAAAAAAATATGACAGATCAGGAAGGTGCACAGAGAAATGCTTTGTGGCAGATATGAAGCTTCATAGGGAAGAATTTTAATTCAGTGAACTAGGGTATCAGACCTTTCCATTTCATTATGGATAAGACAACTAAAGCTCTTATGTCTTTCATTTCCCTTCTGCAAAATAAAGATATAGTACAGACACCCCTCACATAGACTGTATACTGTGCTTCATATATAAAATAGCCACTGTTTAGATGGAGAATCTTACTTGAGTTATACAATGGAGATTTGAACTCCCTACCAGTTTGTGCAGTAGATTACATTTGCTCCTGCCTATCTTCAGGTTCCTTTTAGCAAGGAGCTGTATTTTTCATCATGGCCCCCACCTTGGACCATATCTTTTTCAGACCTTCTCTTTTGTCTTTAGAAAGATGCTCCCTATTTGAGATCCAGGCGTTGTGCTTACTGCCATAAAATAAATTGCTTTAACAGCAGAAACACTTATCTGTGAGGCTGAGGTTCTAGACAAACGCCTAAGCTAAGCATATTCACTAGCAGAACTGTTTTTTGTATTGTTGTCCTTATGTCTCCCCTACATTTGGGTTGAGGACACACAGAAAAGGCATGGCATTAGGGGATGCCTCAAGACTCCGAGTTAAACAGCATTCAAAAAGAAGGCATTTCCTTTTTGTCTGTTAACTCTGGAATATTAATCAGTGTCTTAGGACTGTCTCAGAGGTCATCTGACTGAGAAAAGCCCATAAAAAGAGGAACACCCCAGATATGTGGAAATAATGCTAAAAAAAATCCCCTCGGGTATGGACAACCCAGCAGTATGGGGATTTTTTTATGATATGCCTCTTCCCTTGCTTGCTTGCAAGGGAAGAGGAAAGGCCAGCCCGCTTGTGCATACAGCCAGCCATACACACAAACCCACACCCACAGACTGTACTGCTATGGCATAAATATGTATGTATGAAAGTGTAGAGGCTTGTGCTTACCTGCTGGGACTCCATTGTCCTCCAGTGCTGAGACAAGACAGCCACGAAGAGAAAATCCACCTACTGGCCTGTTTTCTTCCTGCAAAGAAAAAGGAAATGAGGGTTATCTGGAAAATATCTTCATTAGAATAATTTCCCAGAGCACATCACTTATTTTTATGAAGGTGGAGATGTAATGCCAGTCCTTCCAGATATAAAACATCCATGTCACAAGAGAAGTCAATTAGGACATGTAATTCAATGCATTACTATGTTGTTTCAGTCTCAGATGTTTCTCTGATGTAGCTAGGAATGGTGGAGATCAATTAAAAGCACAAGGGAGAGCTAACAATCACATTTCAAACTTATGTACAGTCTTATCAATAACAACCCATATTAAAAAAAAATATTTCTGCAAGTTTTTAGCTTGCTGCTTTTCACTGGGACTGCATGGGAAAAATTTGACCGTTTTCACTAGTAGGCTGGCTCTTTTGTCTGATCTTCAGGTTCTGCAGCTTGAGTTCATAACAAGGGCAAGTTGCAGTGCAAAAAAACCCCACAAAGAAACAGGCAACAAAAAATGAACCGGCTCCATAAGCTCTTTTCACTGTTACGTTGTTTGTGTTTTCTTCATAAAGCATGTCACATAAAGCATTTCTATACATGTTCTTTTAGCAACCTGTTGGGCTTTGTGGTACCCTATGCATCTGGGGCCGATGGATCCACATGCCCTTCTGGGCTGCTCACATTGATAATTATATCCATGAAGATAAATTTTACTATTCCCCGAGCAAGTTTAAAACTGAGAAGCAGAAATTCCTATAGATACTTTGACAGCAAGAAGACCCTATTCAATGTCGGAATAAGAATATAAAAAATCCCAGTAGCAGTATGACCCTCAAAAGTGGTGGGACGTCAGCCCAGAAAGATCACAGCCCAGGAAGAATCCCTGCAGAAGCACAGTCCCAGACTGTTTGGGTACAGCAAAAGACCAATCCCAAGAAAACTGCTGCCCCTCGGCTAAGGAAAAGGAATCTCACTGGGTAAAGACAAGAGGGAAGATGCAGGGATAGAAGACCTTACAAGGACAATCTCCCAGAGTAAGGCCAGAGAGGTTTTATTCCCCAGGAAATGGATAGAGGAACCCAGAAGGAGATTTGGGTGAGAGAAACATTTACAGCATAGTTGTATTTTCATTATAATGTTTGGGTCTGTAAGAGGATTTCTGGGGGTAGTAACCCCCCACTCACATACCTTAGTGGGGTCATAGTAGTGCAAAAAAGCAGGATCAGCTCTCAGAACAAATCTCCTCACCTTCCAGTTTTTCCTCTTGTGCCCCTGCCAAACAGCAGAATTAAAGTTACCACCAGTAAATACCTCCTGCAATGGCCATTTTCCTGCAGGCTGCAGGAGAGACCTAAACAGGTACTGAAAAAAAGAGGTTTTGGAGCTAACAGAGAAAAATCTTTTCTGACATCTTAGTAGCTCCTAGGATTTTCTGTTTAACATCCTTCTCCATACATTGGTAATTATTTCCTCTCTCCCTTCCTTGTGCTGAGAACCAAGAAAGCAGAGTGACAGAACTAAGTGATTATATACTTGATTCCCGCTCTTAATTTCAGATTAAATACGGGTCTTGGATTAAAACGCCATGCCGTGCGTGCTCTGAGGGGATTATATCAGGTCCTTTTGCAGCTCTTCACTCTTCCCCCCAGCCCTCTCAGCTGCTGAGAGTGCAGGGCAGCACTGCAAGCCTGTGCCAGGCCCTGACAGCATCCCCCGGCTCCTGGAGGTTTGGTGCTGGGGCTCAGGGCCAGCCTGGGGGCTGCCCCTTGCTGCTGCTGACCATGGGGAGAGGCTCCTGGGAAGCTCTCATGTCCTGTGGTTGATGGGGGGGGGGGGGGGGGGGCCCCGGGGGGGCCCCCCGCGCCCGCCGCGC